ACATACAAGCTGTTGTAGTATCAAAAGTCTCGGGACTTGACATCAATAAAGGAGGGGGTGAGGCATGCTGATAAGCGGTTATGGTGGTGATCACAAATGTGAATCGTTCCAATCTGTAGGACAGAAACTTGCATTTTTTGATGGCTCGAGAATTAAACATTAGTCTAGATCCTCAACAAAAAATAAGGGTTGTACACATCTAAATTAGAAAAAATGCTTTTGCTCCTACAAGTCTTCTGAGCTTCTTGTCAAGGTGCTACCCCATAGGCCCTGCAAAAAGTCGTGAAACATCTTACAGGTCAGAACATCCTACAGTTTCTAATTTTTCAAGCCGCTTCTCTCTGAAATGTCACTTATATACTTCACGACAATCCTTTTATCTAATTACCATTATACCCTATTTTATCTTAACTCCCTAGGCCTTTGATAAAGCTAAAACGTTATTCACGTTATTCGCCCCATAAAAGTCTGGTTGCTCTGGTGAAAAAACATTACAACCAAACTTATGCTTGAGCATAGCTATATCCTCATGGGAAATATCACAGTTTCCATGCTTAGACCAATATGGTAAGCATTAAACATTGCAAATGTGTACTGTCATTCCAAGTTCTCTATAGCGTTTCCTTGTATTTATCTTGTAAATGTACTTCCAATGATGTATTACCCCTAATTACATTTTATACCATTTTTCAACTTCTAAGGACATTGTTCTCTTCCTGAAATAACTTTTAATCACGTGGGAGCATAGCACTTACCCAAATACAAGCTGTTCATTGGTTGGTCATATCTATAAGCAAAACAGGGAGTGAAGTTTGGGTTGTCGCTCATCTCTTAGTGAAATGTTAACAATTTAAAACTTGTAAGAACCTGTTCTGATTGCATGTACAACGTGCTAATTTACTGTGCTTCACGATTTTAATTTACAAAACATACTTGGAAAAACGGCATACGAAGTATTTATTGTTATTACGATCAAGCATGACATAAATTGCCATCGTGAAATATGGATGGATTACTGGTTTCAACAGTTTACAAAGTTGCGATTAGAAAATGTCAATACAATTGATAAATTGTTAAACCGAGAGGAAGTTACAGTACATATATAGATACATACTTCATATGAGGATAAAACTTGTGCACCGTGGTAGAGTATAATTCTGTTATGGGTTAAATTTGTTTTGATAGAGTCTCACAGTGTTATATAGTAATATTTACTGATGACTTTTCGAGCAGATTTTATTGCTCATAATCATATCAAGGGTGTACTTGGTTTCCAACTTCAAAAGTAGGCTATACCACAAGCATCATATGTTACATAGACGACGTTCGAATACAATCGCTTTGGGGGATTTGGAGCTAAGGATTTTCTCGGGTACAGTGACATCCCGAATCGACTTCATGACGTGATGATTCATTCGTGAAGAATGAACCGCATTTAGGGTATTTGATTAGGGACTGGCACAAATTCCATTCACAGTGTGTGTACAGCCTTGTAGGTGTACGACCTACTTGGTCACTGCCTTTTGTTTCAGGGAAGATGCTAAACGAATTCTCCGCTGTTTTGCGATCGCCGCCTGGAAATCCATTTTCTACACTTATTGTCGATGGTGTTTTGTTGTCCACAAATGTAAGTTCTAGGATCTAGTGAGTCAATATATATGTTGTATTCCCTCCCCATGAAGACGGAATTCAGATTATTATATCTTGGGATTCCTCGAAGTGAGCGACATGATATCTCTTGTATATTGGAATCACCTCCAATAAGTTGATGAACGAAGGGAAGATCGTCTGTAACATTAAAAATGCTACTGGGTATGTCTTCATACTCCCGGAGGTCAGGACACGCGTCCGGTCACTGTAGGTTTGCTTCTGACAACTTCTGCCTCGACCCACGCCTAGTCATTCATCTGTGATATAACTGGGTTACTGAACCGTGTTAAACAAATGGATTGCTTGGGCCTGACAGTGCTATATTCCAAATGGGCTGTCATGATTTCAAAGATTGTAACTGACGTGGAGGCAGATTCAGTTATTGTCCCGGAGGACTTAAAGACCAGTTAGCTTGAATTAGAGAATAAATTTTAGCTTTAGACATCTTTTCTAGAGTGGCTTTACTTTCAGTCTGTTGCAGTGTTCAGAGTAGTCAAGACCACATTGTAAGCCAAGAGTTTTGAAGAGATTGCCGTTGTGCTTCCTCTAATTTTAGCCTGTCATTATGTCAGAGTCCGCCATGAATAAACCAGCGGTATTCTAAAGTAGACCGAACGCATACTTAATGGTTTCACTTGCGTGTCAGGACTGGGTTATCATAATCAGCGACGGTTTGCATTTGGAAGCTAATGTACTTAGCGTTAAATATTTGTTTAGAATTGGTGTAATGTCTATCTGGATGATAGACAGACCCTGGCTTCTTGGCTCGAGTCCATGGATCACATATCGAGAATAATGGACAGTTGAGAGGTTGCCATCAATATACTCAACAAAAACAGAAACGATTAACAGCTATTTTGAGTGTTCAGGTTTTAGATGACCTTGGCCGACAATGGATTACCTTTTACGAGTTGATCACGGACTGATGTCAGTTAGAGAACCATTGAAAACCAGGACAGGAGTACTGGACAGCTGCTGTTTCATCCTAGTTTGGGAATCATCGGCAGCACGCACCCACTGGGATTCGAACCCAGGACCTTCCGGTTACAAGGCAAGCTCGTATACCATTCAGCCACTGGGACCAGATTCAATGGCTCATGAATTCTAACTTCTACCAACTCGTGATTTTAGCGCGACCCCAACTATTGTCATTGGTGGGACATCCATCCACACACGTGACTTCTAATTGGACCTCACTGGTCATGACTTCTCACTAGAACTCCAGGAAGCTCCGACCTGTAGCAAGTCACTAGCAAGCATCAGAATAATTTTCTAAAGTTTGGTTTGTAAGGATTAGTTATGTTTTACGAGTTGATCACGTACTGATATCAGCTGTCCAGTACTCCCTGGTTTTCAGTGGTTCTCTAACTGATATCAGTCCGTGATCAACTCGTAAAACATAACTAATCCTTACAAACCAAACCATAGAAAATGGATTATTTGATAATTAAAAATATTGGCAGCCGTAGATAGTCTGGCTTTCACAGGGAATGGAAAATACATAGGACGGAATGAATGATGGATGGCTGCAAAATATAGTTAGCCAAAATCGAGACAGAGTTAAGGGTATGTGAGAGGTTTGGTATGGAGAGTAGCCTTTCAATGAACTGGATCATGATGAAGATGACTTGACTCCAGACTTACGCTTTTCCTGTGTAGACTGCCTTAATTGAGAAGATCTCAGAATTGGTCGAGGTGCCAAGATGCTAAAGTGCTTTATATGCCTTGGTCTGCCATTTATAAAGCTCATTCACGATACACTCCAGTGTGTACTGAGGGACAAGCAACGTGATAATGGTGATTCTCAGGTGGAAAAACAATGTATTAATTACGGTTATTCAGGAAGTTAATCGTGATATCTGTAGTGCATTTGATACGTCCGTGAGCAAAACACTAGAAGGAGGAATCTGTACGTATACCTCTCCGGTGAGTGTATATCGAGAAAAAACCTATGCCCACGGCATATAATCGACTGTCTCAAGACATGTAGCATTGATTCAGTATCAAGGCAGTAGTGAGTCTTCTAGAGTGGTAGCCTAGGAACATAATAATGTGCATTTATTGGAAGCTCATCAATTTGTACTGTCGTTCTGTTTGGACTTTTCAATTCAGTTTGTGAGAAAATCAAAGAATCCCACAAATGTGCCGGAACAGAGATATCACTAGAGTAAAGACCGTTAAAACCTGAAGAACCGAACGAGACTGTTGACAGGTACGCAGACATCGTTGCAATGACCAAAGAGATTGTTTCTGACTCCAGACTTACTAACAAAAGGCGAAGGTATTTACACCTAAAGAGGACCACGTGGAAAGTTGATAAACTGAATTATTACCGTAGATGAATTACTGAGAAATGTCTGGATTAAGACCACAGACTTTAGCGGACTTATCGTCGCAACTTCTTCCCTAGCATGTGTCTAGGGCTGAAGGCATCCAGCCACTGTATGTTGCACCAGAAATAACCCCTGCCTGGAAACCGAATGTCCTTAATAGTTTAGGAATATTGGTCTCCGGTGAGCAGAGTTTTCCACATAGCTTTTCAGACATTATCCCTCGGGAAACAGTGTACACCGGAAAATTTCCTCACAGCTTGAGTGAGGTGATAAGCGTGTTCTGCAGGCTAAACGAGGAAGAGCAGCATAAATCAGGATGACCTACCGCAACGCCTACGCCTATATATGTGGAACTGACTCGAAACCAGTTCAGAGGGATGATCGATTACTTCCGGCAGATCTTCTCAAGAAGCATTAGACGGGTACCGGCTAACGCTCCGAAGGTAACCACATAACCAAGAGGCGAGTCGTAAGACATCTTAGCAACAAGTAACACTGTAGCGTGAATAACTGTTTTTAGAATACTGTCATACATCTAGCTTTTAGCATATTTTTCAACCCAAAATAGATTTTTCAAGATTTGTTTTGCTTTCATTGTTTGCGTTTCCCAGGTTACCATGGAGGTTATGGAAGTTTCATTACCTTCAGTAGAATAATGAAGTTCTGGACATTGGTATATTTCACTTGAAATATCTCCAATAACAACGGGCTTTAAACAATTATTGAACTATACCCATACTATTTACAAGGGCTCAGAATGTTGCTGAAGCCTTGTGATACTTTTTTACTCCCGACAGAACTTCTATTGAATAGACAGCGCACATTTCTGTTTACACCAATGTGAAGGGTGGCAAATTTTTCCTTAAATGCGTCAAAAATAATTAAGGGAGCACTCTATTAAGAGTCCAAAATACCTAAAACACATATCTGTCTCTGAAATCTGTCAGATATTAACAACAAGCGATGAGCCAATTCTGACTAGTTTTTCACTATTTGGGTTCAGTTTTAATTCGCTGAAAACAAGGTCACAAGGACATCAACCCGCCTCGTCTTCCAAAAGTTTGCGTCACAATCCACTTTGATTGGGGTTTTGTGATTGATGACTTGACGGCTTCTACCGCCTTATCAGGATGATATATATTTGAGTTTATAACTGAAGATCCTAGTACAAAAATTGTTTTATCCATTCAAGTCCGAACGTGTTACATAATTTAGGCTAAACAGTTGCACCTCTGAATTATTCACCCTGTCCTTATTGACAAGTTAGCACTTATTCTGTGGTATTCAAGTGATTAATTGAATAGACTGTATGAAAATTCCCTCCATTCAGTGCTTCGATTCGAATTGAAATGCTGCCCTATTTTGATTACCAGTTCCGTGTCATTATAATTGGTGATAGTATGGTTGGAAAATCCTCCCTGATGAAAAGTTTCGTCGAAGGAAATTTCTCATCAGTATCTGATCCAACTATTGGGGTGGATTTTTTCTCTCGAACCGTACGAATTCAAGAGGAAGTGTTTGTTAAGCTACAACTATGGGACACTGCTGGTCAGGAGAAATTTAGGTTTGTTTTGAATGCGTTTTTGCCTTATAATTCCAGGTCTATAACCGCATCCTACTATCGAAACTGTGTTGGAGTCCTTATTGTATTTGATCTAACTGACAGAGAAACATTTGACCATGTTGCTGATTGGTATGAAGAAGCTCGTGGTTCCATCAAGTGCTCTGCTCCTGTATTTATAATAGTGGGTCACAAAGCTGATCGTCGTGACGAGCGACAAGTAAGTTTTATGAGTAAATTGTTTTCATCATGAATATCTTTAGACACAGAGTCTAGTTAATGACTTGATATTTTCGATATTGTGAAAAAGGGGAATTAATATAGCTATTGTCAGTTTTATTGTTGCGCATGAGTTAGGAATTCAAAGACGTTTTTTCAATTACACAGTTGTCGCTTAATACATATTTATATACCCTATCCAGCTTATGATTTTGCGGGTTTTTTAGTGTTTATTTTTTATCTGAGCAGTCGAGTAATATCAACGAGTACCTGAAATTCACACATAAATTCGCTTCGTTTCACGGTAGACATCTGATCATTACCACAGGCATCATGTTTTTGGTGCCTACTGTACAAAATAGGGTTGTTTTCTAAGAAGAGCTTCAATTCGCCTTAACTTTTGGGAAAAACAGACGTGGGAGAATAAATTACAGAGGCTATGTATTAGTACAATGTAACTTTGTTTATTAAAAATTACTTCACTGAGATGTGACCACTGTGGTACGCTCCAATATGCGAAAAGTTTGAAATATTTTAAACCCTGACTTTCATTGTATTGTTTTTACAAATTGGCACCAACTATGGGAACACAGCAAGAGAATTAAAATGATTCTTCACTATAGAGGAGCATATATTGATTTTTGTATTAGGTCGCTCTGGTATTTCTTGGGTGTATGTTATATGCATTTATTTAGGTGTTCCTATTTGTAAATATTCTTCTTATATCCTTCTTGCCGTACAGATCGTAGCAATTTCGTTTCTATGTTGTTTGTCTAACTTCTCCCTTTGTGCTTTCTTGTTCACACATATACGTATATCTGATAATTAACTTATGTTTCGGCGTTTCAAACTATCTTTCACTTCAAATGAGAAACTTTCACAATTAGTTCAACAGCATAATAAGTAATATTGTCTATGTGCTGGGTGGATTAATTCGTGTACACCAACTATGACATTCATACTGAGCTTGCATTATCCTTCAAGGAAGGCAATGGCTGATCGCTCCTGATACATGTCTCTATCACCTCAGTTTACAGAACTTCACAGCTTTGCTGATTGATGTAGGCTTATCTAGTAATATGCTTGATCTGAGCGTTTACCATCATTCTGTGCTACATAATGTTAGCAGTAGAATAAAGACAACTATGGTCAGAAAACGTAGTCCTTTTAAAACTTTTACTCTCGGTGGTCATATATGGCAGTTGTGGAGTAAGACGGTGAATTACCTCATATTACACATTTCCTTTGTTTGATAACTGAATATTTCATTGATTTTGGGAATGATTCAAGTTATTACATGCCAATGAGTGATTCATATGTATACTGAGATTTTGTTAGCGCATACTCGATTTTGATTAATACGAGTTTCTAAATTGGAGCTGGAGCTGGTGCAAACCATTTCTAATACATCATCCTACATTTGACCACCAAACGGACGTGGAGAAAGATGAAGACAACTAAGAAATATGAGGGGATCGATGAAGTCAGCTGATGCTAGTAGCGCTATAAATAACAAAGAAGAAGGTTTTAAGTTTGGTAAAAATTGGAATAAATGTAAAAAAAAACAATGGACCAGTCAGCAAATTCACCAACTTGTTTGTCTAATCCTTTTGTGAAACTAACTTACTTTTACTTCATACTTTGATAGGTCAGTAAAATGGAAGCTCAATCTCTTGCCCAACGACTTGGTGACTACACCTACATAGAAACATCTTCACTTACTGGACAAAATATTGAAAGAGCATTTGAACTTCTTGCTGAAGGAATATACGCTAATGTAATAAAAGGAAGTTATAATGAGGTAAATACCAATATATATACATATGTATATATTCATTTGTCATTGGGGTTATACTTATTGCATTGTTGGTAATAACCGGCTGGGATAACTTTATGTATTCTTCTTTTTCATCATCGCCTTTATGAATACAAAGATAGAATATGTTAACACAGTGGTCAGGATTGACATACCTTATATGATTCTTTTTTATGGTTAAATACAAGTGTACTTTTAGTAGTCTATGTATCAACTAGGCACACTACTACCTAACCGTTTTAGTTTCAGTGGATAACTAGAAATTCTAACATGTGACTCATATTTTCCAGTGCTAGTTTTCAGGGATTTAATTGATTTGAATTGCGATAGCGAAATGACTTCAGTTGGAAGGATGCATTAGAGACGAGAGGGTACTAGACGCCTGCTTCGTCCTTTTTAGGGCTCTTCAGCATTACTAACCAACCGACGATCCCACCAGGGACCGATTCCCTGCAAACCAAAACTTGCAAATCAATCTAGTGCTCACTAGTGACTTATTGTAGAATGAAATTGCCTGAAGTTCAGTCGGGAAGTCATGACCAGCGGGGTCCAATAAGTTGCATGTAAGGATAAACATTCACAGTTGATATTGACTGGCCATTGCGCTATGTATCACAAATTAACAGGGGTTAGAGTTGTTGATGAGCTGCCGGATCTCGACCCAGTGATTGTGAATGCTCAACAGGCCGGCTTTGTAACCTGTAGGTGCCAGATTCGATCTCTAGTGGGTGCGGTCATGAAGGTTTATACTGTTGAACACTCCGAAACAACAATGAAATAGATGTTCAGTAGCCTCATATATCGAGTGCTTCTCCAACTGGAGTCACTTTGCCATCAGTTTTGAAATCAGTTAAATCCCTCCACTAACCAACATTTAATTTCTATCTGTTGATGAGTTACACACATTTTATTCTTTGTTAGATCCTCGAACAATCTTATGCAAGTTATGAATGGTAGAAGAAGACATATAAGCGAACAATATTGTTTTCAATTAGATCTTCTTGAGGCTTTACTCTAATTTACATAGATTTGTATATAGAAAATTTTATTAATGACGGTGAGTTTGTGGATCAAATAATAATAATGATAACCAAAATAATGATAAGGTTTATGTAAGTGGCGATAAGAATAACGAAGGTAGTAATGGGTGTATATTTAGACAATTCAGTAAATAAATAAATTAGGTCAAATCTTGAAAGTTACGTAGTACTAAAGGTGAAGTGGACAGATAATCAGAGTTTAAATAAATATCATAAAAGTACGGAGGAAATGGAAAATATGAAATGGTGGGAGGATTTTAATTGGAATGTACCTAGGCCAAGGGAGAGACAAAGTTAGAACAGACTTCTTTTGTGTGCACAGACTAGGATTGTTCTCTCGAATTCCAATAGCTTCGGCTATATGTCAAAGGCGCCTTCAAATTCCGTTCGAAAGGTTCAATGGAATGCGATAAATAACTTTAAAGGCACTTCTGTTCACTTGGTGGCCACTATCAGTAAAATGAGTCAAAATAGGACTTCTTATGGATTTTATTTGGCCTAATCTGAACCACTGAGAAAGAAAAGATGGTCAATAATACGTTTGTTGAGCTGTCTAGTTGTTCGCCCTCAGGAGCCGCTTAACTTATAAGTGTACATAGAAGTGGGACAGCTAGGCAGCTTGTCTTTCTCTTGAGCCATCATAATTGGTCTGCTGGAAAATGACAGTATAAGTCTGTTTTAATGTCTTTAGACAATCTTAGATGTAGGACTTCACTAGTCACATCCCCACTGAATTCCAGTTTCAGGAACAGTTGTTTCTTTTTAACTGTTTTCGGTTTCTATTTATCATACATGGTGTTCATGTGTCTCCTTGAATATGTCGTAATTATTACTAAGGTGGAAAACATTGAACACTTATCATTATTATTTTCTCATAATTTGATCCACATACTCTCCGTCATTGGTTAAATGTTTTTATACATATAAATTTGTGTAAATTGGGGTAAAGCCTGAAGAGGATCTAATTGAAAGCAAATTGTTCGCCCACATATATCTTATTCTAATATTAATAATGGGAATATTTAAAGATTTGAATAGTCAGTCTCTCCGTTGTGTGTCACTAGAACTACACCTTATTTTTGATTGGAGAATTTATTTCCCATGCTGAAATGAAAGCATGCAAATACTGCTTTCTGTCATTCATATATGTTAGGCGGATTAAAGAGTATTACTTCATTTTTAGTATTGATTTCTGATATTTCTTAAAAGATTGTTTTATTTTTCAAATTAATAAATATGTAGGTATTATTCTAGATTATGTGCAACTAAGTATCTGATATTCATTGAATGTTATCTGCAAGTTGATATAAGTATAAAACTTTGGCACTGTGGTAGAGTATAATTCCATTATAGATAAGATTTTATTTTGATAAATCACACAGTGTTGCTGTACAGTAATATTAACTGATGACCACGTTTCGAGCACAAATTATTGCCGCTCATAAGCATGTCAAGGCACCACTCACATAACTTTCTAACTTCGTTTATATACATGAGTAGAAATTGATGATTAGACACTTGGATAAAATCAATATAAGATAATATACATTCAGAAATAATAATATGAGTGTTATTGATCAAATACAATCAGATGGGAAATAAAACGAGTGTTTTTATAGTCATAATAAGTAACTTGTTAGAATGTTATGATGTACGTTAATTGAAATATAATTTTGAGATTATTTATTATCCTCCTCTGATTTGACTGGTGGTAATAATACCTTCCATGTATATCTCTGGTATTTGCATTGAGTCATTTCTGTTGCATGTGTTTGGTATAGAGTCGATGAACCAGGATTCAGTAATCAATCTCCCTCACTCTTCACCTACCTGTATTACTTTTTAGAATTTTGACTGTGTCCCATCCTATTCTGTGATTGTGTGTTAATGCACGCGTTGCAATCGCTTAGCTTTTTTCTAAATTACACATCTTCTTGGGGTCAACCATTCTTGCCTTAGCTAAATTCTTATGTTCCGACAATCTGACTACCCCTGACCTATGTAGTTGACTTAACTCACAGTCATTGCAGGGTATTTTGTAAACTATATTATTTTGTCTAATTGGGTCCACTGGGTGCTTTAGCCTACATAGCTTGTCCCTGAGCGAGTTTGTAGGTTTAAATGCCACCCTAATTCCTGCTTTGTTGAGAATCCTACGTAGGGTCTCAGATGTCCCTTCCCCATATGGTAAAGCTGTAGATGCCTTATAAGGTCTCAATGTAAATACCAGAGAAATGGAATATATTATTGCCACCAGTCAGTCAAATCAGAGGAGGATAATAAATAATCTCAAAATTCTATTTCAATTAACGTACAACATAACATTCTAACAAGTTACTTAATTTGACTATAAAAGCACTCGCCTTATTTCCTATCTGATTGTAATTTATCAATAACACTCATATTATTATTTCTGTGCGTCGGTGGCACAGCGGTTAGGACTCCCGCCTACCATTCACATGGTCCGGGGTTAGAGCCCTTCCCGACGCACACCCGATATCTATGATCGGCCTGTAAAATTGGGCTACCGATATCACATGCTGAAAATTCCATACTTGTACCGAAAATACGGTGTGGAATCAAGCCATAATCAAAAAATAAAATATATTGATTTTTGATTGCATAGAGGTTTCATCATGAGATGACATCATTTAGAGAACCACTTAAAAACAGCCACAGGGAATACTAGACAGCTGTGTCGTTAGCCTAGTTTGGGGCTCTTCAGCAGTACGCACCCACCGGGGTTCGAACCCAGGAACTTCTGGTTACAAGGCGAGCTCGTAGACCATTGAGCCACTGGGATCCGATCCAATGGTCCTTGAATTCTAACTTCTGCCAATTCACGACATAGCGCGAGCATTTCGTAATGTCTTCTTCGATGAGTTACTGCCTCATCTCCAACTTGCGGTACCCTACTAGTCACGGCTTCTCACTAGAACCCCAGGTTAACTGCCTGATTAGGGCCAGTCGCTAGTGAGCATTAGATTAATTTTCAAGTATTGGTTTGGTAGGGATTTTGTTTGATTGATTGCATGGAGGATTTCATCATGAGCTGACATTTTCTCTGTCAATTATTTTGAATGATGCCTGCGCGTCTACTCTATGTCCTCGTCCTGCATCTATCAGGAGTTGGGTGATTGAAGAGCTTAAACTGTTTGAACCCTCTAGCCGGAAGTTCCCTTGTACATGTTCGAAGAATATTACATAGACCCTTCTTTCTGTTTTTCCAATGTATCTTCTGTCGCAGATACATGTGAATTAGTATACACAGTTGGAGGGGGTACTTGTCGATCTTTGACTACACCAAAGAACGGTACGTTCAGAGCAGATAGATTAGTTCTGCTGCAGGATACGTCGTGAACAGGATTGTAGTTAATCTTTTATTTATGACTCTCATACTATCATTGCCTTCGAAGTCGAGTTCCATGAAAACTGGCTTCTTGCTGACCGTAGCCTCATGAGATTTCTTACATTCATTCTTGCCATATTTAAAGCAATTAGTTCTCTTTATTAATTTTGACAACGTAATAAGAAGATGTGGTTTATCTAAAACGTGTAATGTATTTGCTCAACACATTTCGGACATTCTGATCATACACGAGTACTTGTCATACATAGTTATATACAAGACAACAAGGCATGAATTATTACAACACGGGTCAGATTGTGTGCAGGTCAAGGTCACAAATAATGGGTGGGGAGATAACGCAAAGGTAGGGATAAGAAAGAGAAAAAACAAAAACAAAGAAGTGGTTGAAAATGTTATAAAGTAAATGGGACCTCGGTTCTAAATTGGATTATCAAGGCAGGTTTAAGGTAATAACATAAGACAAGTTGGTCTTTTTATGGCCAAGGCTTCAACGAATTTTAGTATTTGACCCAATCTTGTTTTATATACGGGCTACGCTATAGATGATGTTGGACATCTATTTTCGGGATCAATTGTATCCGGCGATTTTATTTGTTGTTACAGCCACTTTGGAATCTGTTCTGTAGTCAGTCCTAACCTGCAGAGACCGATGGGTCCTCCCTAGTGTACGTGTATCCACACATACATGTAAATTGATAAACACATTAGGATATGACTTGCCATATTTACCAATAAAGCTTTTTGGATAATTAGCGTGTTCTTTTGTAACTCACTGAGTAGAAGCTTTTGAAGTTTATGGAAGAGACCGCTCCCTGTGTCCTTACGATATATCGATCTTCTCTTATCGAATTTTTGTTACCACGTTAAAAACGAATTTGTCAATTAGTTTTTCTAGAAACTCCAGATACCTTATCATCCGGATGTTCCATTTCACTAGGATGCTCCTACAAAGTGCCTGTTGATAGACAAAAGTATGTTAAAGTGGTACACAGTTGATGAGAACCAACGGAATTCAATGGATCCATGTTATTCTGCGCCAGTGTTTGTTCTTTCTTTGAACTAGCTCACCAATGGCTACTGGATAGATATATCTTGGATCTGTACATTGAAGTCGTGACCGGTTGTTTCCACCGTGTTAAGATGAAGCGGGTACTCATCGATGGCTCATTGGCTAAGGGTAGCTAGATTTCATGGGTCATTGAATTCCGGTCAAGGAGCTTGTTTTCATAACCGGAAGGTCCCCGAATTCGATCCCTGATGGGGTCTTGGATGTTCACTTATGAATAGTCCGAGACTAAGACTAGACAGCTGTACATTGCTCCCTGGTTTTCAATGGTCTCTTATTATTTTGACTGGACACTAGTAACCAGTGCGAAGTGTCTAGTCCTTTCTTTGGTGCAGACTGAATTCTATCAGTCAGGTTTGCAATGTGGCCACCATGCCACTAGGGTACCTCGCCATCACGGTGCACATTGATTTGATGGTATTAGATAGTTGGAGGAAATCGGCCACAGGAAGCCTTGACTAGACTTAGGTTTCGTGCTAGTTGGCAATCACCAGTCAGCAAGGCGTATCTGCAACCAACTTGAAGGAACTCTTGTCCCTTCTGAGATTCGAACCCGCGTTACCCAGTGCGACCAATCGCGAGCCCGAATAGCTCAGTGGTAACGTTCCTAACGCGGGTTCGAATCTCAAAAGGGACAAGAGTTCTTTCAAGTTGGTTGCAGATACGCCTTGCTGACTGGTGAGTGCCAACTAGCACAAAACCTAGGTCTAGTCAAGGCTTCCTGTGGCCGATTGCCTCCAACTATCTAATATCATCAGGTGTCTTATTATGTTAAAATTTTTAATGATTTTCACTCAAATTGTGTTTTGTGTTTCTGCAATATGAACGACAGTTTCTCCTGTCGCCTCGTCATCTTATCTTCTCTGTCTTGTTTTCTAGTTATGCGCAGCGGGTATTTGGGACGGTGTTAAACAAGGTCATAATGCTGCATTGGCTGCCTCATTAGCAAATAAATCAATACATTTTGGACAAGATGACTCTAAACCACACAATGATTGTTGTTAATATGAGACAAGAAGAGAAGAGAAGGAAAGGAAAAACATTCTTCGCTTTCTGATATTTCCTTTCCACCCCACCCTGTTTTTTGTAAACAAAGTCCCTCCCCTCCCCTCTTACCCCTCCCTCCCTACTAACCGTTCATCCATCCTTTCTTTCTGTCCTACCTGCCATCTTCTACCAGAAACAATCATTTCCTGTTGTTTTTTAATTCAGAGATTATTCAGCAGATATCATTATTATTATTATTAATAATGATAAATTGATCTGATCCAACTATTCTAAGCCGATCAAGACAGACAATTAATTGATCTCAGTTGTTTTTTTCATTTCTACCATTCATTTATTCATATTGTGGAGTTTAATGATCAATGAACAAAAACTCAACAATTGTTTTAATGCATCAATCATCATTCGCCATTTTCGCGCGCCCGCCTGCCAGTTTGTGTTTTTAATGTTTGCGTGGTAATTTCAAACATCTCCAAGATCTATAGAGTGATGGATTTTAGAGACACTTATCTAAAATTTATAAGTTATTTACAATAATTTCCCTACCTACTTAATTGACTACTTATCGTCTTTATTTGTACTAATATCATTCATTTTGACCGCAAATTCTATGGTTTGTTTTTTTGAAACTTTTTATTTTGTTGTGTCTACTTTTATTTGTAAGTAAAGCATTTTATTCGAAATAAAATCAAGAGAGAAACTTTGATTACACTTTATTATTCTTTAGGCTTTTTGGGGGCAACTTATGCCACCTCTGGTGTAGACGCGATATTCGGCTGGCAATCGATCAAAGGACGTGTGTACTGCACAACACCAGTTCGCTCCGTCCATCTTTATAGCTGTGAGACAAAGTCATTGAAAGTGAAAGTTATGAAAAGGCCAGTTATCCTTGATCATACGAGTCTGCGTTCTATCTCCTGTTTGAAGTGGTATAATATGGTGACTAATATTGAGGTTAAGCATCGGTCGAGTGAGTGCCAGGTAAGGAGGGGAAACCAATCGACGAGGTGGTGAAGTTACATCAATTGAGATAGTTAGGATAATTTTCGTGTGTGCCAAGCCATCGCCTTCCTGGACGGGCAATGTTAGCTGACTGACATAGGATGGATCAGTTTGGAAAAGAGCTAGTGTTGGTCAAACCAAAATATGGCTTCATCAGTCAATGAAACCCACAACAGTTAGTTTAAGCCAGCCAGCCACATAGGTAGGTGTAGACTTCTTGGTTGGAGTCCTCACACACACGACGAGTTGTGATCCCTTAACTGAAAGACAAAGTGCCTAAGCTAACCAGCTACCTCTGCTTGTATCTATGAATTCAACTGTTCCTCGTATGGTGCCAGTTATATTCGCTGTTGTTCTAGGAACTTGATTTTTTGTGCTCGGGAACACTTACCAGTGTGTGGTTAAATAATAGTGTAATTAAAACCAACAACACTTTTATATTAGATCACCTCGTCCAAGAAGGCACTGAAGCTAGCATTGAAGAATCTTCCTCGATCATCCATTGAATACCGAAAAAATTGCCAACTGTCTTCACAAACAGAAGAGGCTATTGCAATTCGCCTATAACAACCTGAGCTCTCCATGCAATACTTTCACTGCCCTACTAGGCAACATCTTCAGCGCATACTTCAATCTGAATTGAAGTGAGCTTTTAGATTTCTCCACAAGTTCACTATTAGTCATCTCTCCTGATGGGTGACCTTGAACGTGTGTTTTCACACCCTCTAGCTTACTTGTATTGGAACTGATTGTTTCATCGACTTGAACTTTGACCCTTTGTGTGTGTGAGGTTTCCTTCTTGTCGGTTGGTAAATTTTGTCTATCTCGATGTGTTCATTGATTGATGATTCACTGGAATACTAGGTAGCCTTCTAAAAATCCTCTAGCATTCTTGGTGTTTCCTCTGTCTAACATTTGGACTTTGTCCCAGTCGAATTGATCTTCGTGGTTGTCTGTAAGTAGTGATATGAGGGAGTGGATGTCATGTCTTTCGACGGCTATTTTATGATCACGGATACGAAGACGTCCAAGGTCACCCGCCAGGAGAGATGCCTAATAAACTCGTGGAGAAATTTAAAGGTTCACTTCAATTCAAATTGAAGTATGCACTGGCGATGTTGCCTAGTAAGTAGGGCAATGAAAGCTTCACAAATAAACCATCCAGCTCAAAGAACAAAAATACATCAAAAAGTTAACGGTATGATGGAAGAAAGAGTTCGGAAATTGGTAATGTTAAAAATTTTGAATCAAATGAATATACAAAAGATGGAGGGGATGAAGATAACCATCCGAAAACACCAATCACTATAAACGAGAAAAATTTGAAAGACGTCACTTCCTTCAATTATCTACATCAGCATCGTTTCGACTACAGGCAGTCGATATTGATGCGGATATCTATCTCATCAGGCAGAACCAGAAGCCTATATAGAAAACTATATGCTCGCACCAGCAAGTACAGGAACTCAACTATACCTTACTTAGCTCGTGTTCTGTGAGATAAAGCATTAGGCGTGATACCTATAACTTACTTAATAGTCAGTAGAACAACTAGATCTCGTCTTTCCATCTCATATCATTTATAGGTACAACGTTTTCTTTCTTTCTTTTCCTTTTCCCTCTCTCTCTCTTTTCTTTTCTTTTTTTCTGTTATGTGCTCCTTTGTTTCCTCCTTCCTTACAAACTCTATTTAAAACATTCTTCTTCGTTCTTTCACACTCTATATATCTCGACCTTTTGTTACCGCTTACGTCAGTAAATATGCTAGTATCTACTTTCCTAGCACCCTCAAACACTGTTCAATTTTGGCTTTGCTACCGACATGCCAAATATGTTGTTATCAAAACTAACTGAGATTACCCTTAATCTATGTGGAATTTTGTTTATTGTTAATGTACTAACTGGATGCTGAGAATTTCATTCTGTATCATCACAAGTACTGTTTTGGAATAAAGCAAGTTATTATTATTATTATCTAAGCGAGGATTGCAAATGGCAAAACAGATGTTCATCACTATGGGTAAATTTTATTTTGATAGAGTCTCACAGTGTTATACAGTAATATTTACTGATGACGTTTCGAGCACAATTTATTGCTCATAATCATATCAAGGTAATCACACGACTTCCTAAATTCATTTATATAGTTCCATTATTTTCCACTTGGTTTGATTGGTAGTAGTATTTTCCATATTTCGGGTATAAGTGATGAATCATTCCTATTGCATGTGTTGGATTTAGATTCGAAGAACAAAGATTCAGTAATCAACCTGTCTCTCATCACCTACCTAGATTACTTTTTAGAATTTTAACCCTATCCCAACCTATTGTGTGGTTGTGTGTTAATGCATGCATTGCAATTGCCGAGCTTTTTTCTAAATTACTTATCTTCTCTGGGTCAACCATTCTTACCTTAGCTAAATTCTTATGTTCTGACAATCTGACTACTCCTGATCTACTAGTTTGACCTATGTAGTTGACATAACTCACAGTCATTGCAGGGTATTTTGTAAATTATATTATTTTGTCTAATTGGGTCCACTGGGTCCTTTAGGTCTGTAGCTCTATAGGTTAAAGGACCCAGTGGACCCAATCTACTCATGATCACTTCGACTACAGGCCGTCGACACCGATGCTGATGTCAAATCGAGGATTTCAAAAGGCAATACAGACGTTCATCACTCCAAAATCAGTTTAAAAATCTTCTACACTCAACACAAAGAACTAGATTCAGATTTTCAACACCAATGTTAAGTCACTTAGTTCTTCTCTATGTGGCGGAAAGTTGGTGCATCACGAAGAACATTCCTCACAGATTGCAGATTATTATCAACAGCTACTGCTTTCGCTCTATATTGAAGATCATATCGCCAACCGGAAGGAATCAACAACATGAAAGTCTGGAAACGAACCAATGAGGAGCCTATTGCTCAGCAAATAATCCCAAGAAAGTGGAGACCGACTGGGTTCACACCAAGGAGATCTTTAAGTAACATCACGCGCCTGCCATGCTATCTTTCTAGTGGAACCCGAGTGGGGCATCACTTCGAGGGTGACATGGAGAAGATCGTGTGTGCAGGAGATGAAGAGGACTGCAGAGAGCAGGACAAAGTAGAGATGTGCTGTTGAAGCCCTATATTCCACTCGGAACCCAAGGGAATAATAATAATAACAATATAGTCATAAAACTATTATTGGATGAGGAGAAAGGAAGTTGGGTGTCCACTTGACAAACGTAAAGATTTAGGAAACAGAAAGATTGAGCGAAGAAATATTTACTTTTCAATTAAATCCTCATCTCACTCTGGCTCTACTCTAATATATATCCATATCATTTTTATTACAATACACAACAATTTACCAATCAAGTGGCACTGATATGTATGTTAACAATAATTAAATACTGAGCATAAGGTTGATGTTAATACAGCATTTGAAATTATCTATCGCATTCCTACTAATCTTAATTTCGCTCTACGAGTTCTTCTTCTACAGACAGCTGAAACAATAGGAATCCACCTGAAGAAGAAGCCAAACCTGTGTGTTCAGAAGAAATTTGTGCAGCCACTTTCCTTGCCTTGGCCATCGTTACATGAATGTGTAAGCCGGACTATTTTGCCCTCCTCCCCCTAAACCTTTAAAATTATAAAAATTGTAATTGTCCAAATTATATTATTTATTTTTTCTGACCACTTCATCTGTAATTACGTGTTATCCTTGTAAAATTAATTTATTCTAACCATTTCTACCTTTTAAATGTGTATTGGATTTTCTTCGTTTATTATCAACCCATTGACATTTTGACACTGTTTAATTATTGTTAGCAAACATATCGCCACTTGATTGGTAAACTGTTGTGTATTGTAATAAAAATGCTAGACATAATATATTAGAGTAGAGCCAGTGATGAGGATCTAATTGAAAAGCAAATATTTCTTTGCTCAATCTTTCTGTTTTCTAAAGGTCTAAATGGGGATCTTTTCTATATTGAAACGTAAAGATGATGAGAAAATACATAAAAGGGAATAGTGAATTTGTTATTAAAATTAAAACTGAACGATTAGGGAAGAGATTAAGACCACAGTAGAATCAGAAACTGAACAAATCTTTTCTGCATACAAAGTTCAGGGGCATATTGACTAATCGTTGGCATCTCTGCTATACACAAGTACCGAGACTTAAAGACCCCTTATGGCATTCTGTCTCATCACACAGATAATTTTAAAAGACCACTCTAATGGGACTACGTGGCCTAAGTTCTCCGGGTACTCGATAACACAGCTAGTAATTCTCTTACCTTGTCCTCTTGCTAAACATCTCAGATAATGTTCAGAGATGCTATTACTATAGGTTTCTCGGTAAATATAAATATGACTGTACAGCATTTGAAGATGATTTCGTTGATAAAGAAAATTCCCTTCACCACATCATCTTTTATTTTCTACAGAATCTAACCTAGGTGCAACATCTCGTCTCCACAAACTAACATCGCCAACAGAAATGTGATGTGCTAGACAATTGGTTACAGGATTTCATCATGAGCCGACATCTGTTAGAGAACCATTGGTAAACCAGTCAGGCAGTATTGGTCAGCTGTTTCGTCAGCCTAGTTTGCGACTCTTCATCAATACACACCCACAGCGTGGGGCTGGAACCCAGGACTTTCTGGTTACAAAGCTAGCGAGCTCATAGACCTTTCGGCTACTG